TCTCCCGCGTAAGATTTGACAGTTTAAGTGGCAGTTAAAAGGAGGAAGCAGCTGCAATCTCCATTACTCTGAGAAGCACAGAGCTGGAGACAGAAGCCTGAAGATGATGAATGAGACTTCATCGAAACGTTGCCTAGATACTTCAAATCTTACGCGGGAGAAAACACGAACAACCAAAGATCTATATATATATATATATATACACATGCATACAAATATTAAACATTGTCCATTTTGAATACATAGCGGAAAGAGGAAACTTGATAATTCACAAAGTTGATGCAATATGGAACAATACTGTGGTTGAATCTGGATGTTCTGTTTCGGGAATTATGAATCCTCCCAGAAAGTAACAAGGAAAACAAATAGTGAAGAGGATGTGTAGCATCCCAGACAATCCTGAGGACAGAAGGAAATGAACTACCAATCATCTTTTCTGCCATCCTCACCACCCTCTGCACTGCCTTCCTGCCTGGACAATAATGCAATACGACAGGATGCTCTTGATCGTCCCTGTATAGAAAGTGGTAAGGACAGGGGAAGGAAGATGTACTTCTGCAAAGATGTCTATAACACTATCACACATCAAAAACATCTACCTATACCAGGTTCTCAGAAAGGACTCATTAGGTGGATAAAAATGCCACATCCAGTCTGAACATCTGGCTGACTGTGTGACAAACAGCAATAAAAATAAAAATAATAACAGGCAGAGCATCCTGTTGTCCCCAGGAAGATTTCCGGAGGCACCTGAGACATCACTTTATCACTCACAGGACTCCACCCACATATATGATAGAATTGCCAGTAGCAAAGTTTCAAAATTATCGTATTACTTTCCTGTTGTGACAAAAAAGCAGTTAGTCATTTAGTTTAACATTATTATTTTTTAAATAAAATAAAATTACAGAAATGTCTGTGTAAATTTTCCCAAACTGAAGTCAGTTGTGCCTTCTGATGCTAGCCTAGGCTGTTTTATTTTTCTGGGTATTTTAGTTCATAAAATAATATAGGTGCGAATCTCGCAAGAGGTGCAGTGGCTCAATGACACTGGAGATCGTCTCTGCTCCAGCAGTTCAAGTCCTAGCATTGCATACCAGGGGTGAGCTCCCATCACTTGCCTCAGCTTCTGTCCACTTAGCAGTTTGAAAACATACTGCATGCGAGTAGATAAATAGGTACCACTTCAGTGGGAAAGCAAGATGGTGCTTCGTGTGGACAGTCAGAATCCTCCCAGGCCTTCCCAGTTGTGCTGCCCATTTGTGAGGCACCTTCAATGGAGAGGGAGAGGATCCTGGGGGATACTGCAGGTTGCCATTCATCTTTATTTCTGATATGGAGCTAGCTTTCCCCATGTAGCACACCTTGGAAAGCGTGCGAGCTTGAACCAAACAGGGTAGCCAAAGTACTAGTCTGTATTAGCACCGTAGTATCCTGGCTAATGTAACATCACCATAGGCCAAATAAATAAATAATTACAGCACTCTATATTCACCTGATCACTATTTGTGATCTCTTCCTAGCTTCCCCAGTGATTTTGCTTATTGGAGGATGACAGGGAAGGTCCCAAGGGTAATCATGTGACCGGGGCACACTGCAACCTTGCAATTGTGAGCCAGGTGCCAAGTAGCCCATATTGCAATCATCTGACCGCAGGGATGCTGTGTTAAGTCCAACTACAACAACCCATGGTGTGTGCTCTTTGTTCAGCACCATTGTAACTTCAAACATTTACTGAATGGCCGGAGTTTTTTTTATTGGGAATCTTACCAGATGCTTATAGTAAAGAGTTGAAATATTTGATTGTAAATGTATTGACTGCGGCTAGGATTGTATTTGCAAAGAATTGGAAAAATGAGAAAATTCCATTACAGGAAGAAGTTATAAAGAAAATATTGGAATGTGCTAAGATGAGTAGATTGACTTTTGAAATCAGAGAGCAAGAAGATAAACAATTTTATATAATTTGGGATCTTTTCTATCAATGGCTGAATGATGAAATACAAAAATAGAATATTTGAAATGCTAGATAATAAGGAATAATATTGAATTTATTTTTCTTTTCTTATGCTTGGTATTGGATATTATACTTATATAATGGTTTCCTTTTTCCTTTTTTCTTTTTCTTTTAGGATAGAACTGGCACGACTATATGATTTGTTTTAGAATAAATCATTTAAAATATAGTTATCTCACAAAGGCATGATCGAATAAAAGTGTAGTCAAACTTTTTCTTTTTTTTTTAATAATGATATGATGATTTATAAGTTTGTATTGACAATAAGAGTTATTATATAAGGTAATTGTAATTGTGACTATGAAGTGAACGCACAAAACTGATGAACCAACCGACTCACTGTTTGTATATAAATATGGGGGAGCTGATGTTTTTATGTTTTGTCTGTTTGTTTGTATGTTAAAAAACAATAAAAACTTTTATAAAAAAAAAAACATTTACTGAATGGGTGGCCATTAAGCGAGGACTACCTGTACTTCTTTATTTATCATTTTTTCCGCTATTGCTTGTTTTTGCAGAGCAACTTGGAAGCTCTGCTGAAGAACGAGAAATAAATCTTTTCATGCAACGATCACACATCCAGAGGCAAATACATACAAATAAATGCATTTGATTGACTGATTATGTCTGTCAAGTCATTGGGAATGCCTACTGACTACACTGGTAGAATTCACGACAACCTCTTTCCATCACGGTCCTTCAGGACATCCAATGGTGGACCCATTGCCCCGTGACTGACACCATCCATCTTATTGTCCTCTTCTTCTCTTTCCTGCCACCTCATCAGAGCCTTTTCCAGAGACATCTTCATATAAGGTGTCCAAAGAAGGATAATGTGAGCTTGGTGATTTGAGCCTTGAGCAAGAACTCTTGAATTGATTTATTCAATGATCCATTAGTTCATCTTCTTGGCTGTCCAGGGTATTCTCAAGGATCACATTCACATTTTTTTTTCAACTAGTCTATAGTATCTGGTGTTGGACTACAGCTCCCTTTGTTTCAATATGTTTTAGAATGATAGGAAATATATAATCTAATCCATCTGGAGGGCGTTAATTTGGAACAGGATGTTTGTCTTTTTAATCAACTTACTGTTGACCTTTAATCACTGAGTAGTCCTTACCTACACATTAGAACAATAAGCCTACTCCTAATCCATCTAGTTTTAACATGCATATACCCAGAATGAGTAATAAAGCTGAACTAGCAATGTCTTAATCAAGAACTCTTCAGACAGTTTTGTTCTTTGACCCAAAGAGCAGATAAACAAAGTGGATGAGTAACCCAAAAGGAAAACAAGAAGACACAAGAAATCTCTTTGTCTCACAAAGGTGTTCCCTCAGGTACAGTTTTCATAATAGACAATAGTTTAGTTCTCGCCCATCTCTAACTGGCAGACAGAAAGCCTGTTAAAAAACAAAAAAATAGAAAACATCTATGTCAAAGCAAACGGCTAGTTTGTCAAACTGGGAGCTGGAAATAAAAAGCAGTGGAGAAAACACTTAGGAAAATATTTATTACATTTGTATTTTGCCTTTGTCTTTATACAACACTTATTGTAGGTCTCCAAATTTTCACCTGGCCTTTGATATGTGGATAAAGTAGTTTTTCCTGCTCACACTCTGAATTCTAAAACATCTTTCCGATACTATTTATGGATGTGTTTTCTTTTATTGCTTCCTTTTATTTTTTATTTTTAAAGAAACTTCGTAATTTTCCCAGAGTATTTTTGGTTATTGGGTGGATTAGAAATCATGATGATGATGATGATGATAATGTTAATGATGTGTGGAAAGTTAGCACCCACCTCCTAGAAGAAATGTTTTGAGAAATATTAAAAAGGCAGGATAAAATATTTCCCCTAGAAGAGAAATAAAAGGGAGACGGAAACTCGGAGCTCCAGCTCCCTGTCCCTAGCAGATATTTGATGCCCATTAAGAGAGGCTGGACCAGCCTATCTACAAGACAAAAGACCTCCAGCTCCAGGGTGATGGGATTAAGACATGACCCTCTAGGACATAATAGGATTAACCCATCTAGCAGCAGAACTCGCCACATGGCACAATCTCCTAAGGACTTTGCATCAGCCAAGCTTCAACCAAACCTGGGAGCTCAGACAACCTCAGCTATGACCCCTGCAGAGCCTCATGAGAGCCAATAGAATGCATGTTCTTGCACAGGAACAGGAAGCTCAAGTTCAAAGCCCAAGAGAAGGTATTAAAAACCCCACTCTCAACTCCATGTGGTCAGCTGCCCAGAACCATCCATGTGGTTCTGCTACTTCACCATTAAATCATCTTGCCAATCAGCCTCCATGTTTCCAGTCTCTTCCTCCCGGCTTGGAACTGAACCGGATAGATTATTTCTCCCAACAGATGATAACAGCAGTTTCAGTTCCACAGACGCTGTTTTTGGGGAGGTTGACCTTCTGTTACCTTCACTGATTGTCCCATGATCATTGTTCCTGGTAATGTAATCAACGAGGTAAAAAGAGAGAACTCGTGCTATTTATTAACTTATCTTGGTTGGAGGTTGTCACATGGATACAGTTATTGCCTCTTAATCTACACTGTCTTTACCTAGATTTTAGTTTTACGATCTGAGATTCCAGAGGAAGAAAAATTAGCAGGTGTTACAACAGAACAAGAAGGGAGAGTCTCGTGCAAAATGTTATCTTTCTCTTTTATCGCCCATATCATTATTTCTCTGGCTGCCCACTCTGGAGTCCCCTCCCAAAAACCCAACAGCATCTCCTCGAAATCTTGATTCTCCTTTGGTAAAAAAATTCTAGAAATAAAAATGGCAAGGTAGCAACTTGCATTACTGCATCGTAAGAGTAATAGAGGTACATCCGACTGAAGAAATGGCAAAAATCGCCATGCCATAGAACTCTATTTTGCTAGGTTTTTTTCCTCCAGTTTTGGCCTTATGGTATTCTCAGAAAATTAAAAAAAAAATGGAGTCAGGTCAGTGCTTTGTTTATTCACATGCTGGCTGGGGAATTCTGGGATTTGAAGTCCACTCAATAATCTAAACAGTTGCTGAAGTTAAGAAAGCCTGCTTTTAGGCAAACAGAGATGCTTGTTTTCTTCGGCCTCTTCCAAATGAACCCTTCTCTGCTAGGAAGCAAAAACACATAAATAATATTAGCATTTTTTTTTAAAAAAAATAAAATCCTTAAGACACAGTTGCTACATGGCTTTGTACGCTGTGTACTTGTTCTTCTTAACAGCATTCCGAACATTTCAGAGTTTAGCTGGAAACCTTGGTGGGTCTTGCCCTCTTTCAAAATTTGTTTTCAATTACTCCGAGTGTCTTCAACTCCAAAGACATCTCTTTCCTGCCTGTGTCCCTGTTCAGAAAAGAATAACGGAGTTGGAAGAGATCGTGGAGTTCTTCTAATCCAACCCCCTGCTCAAGCAGGAGAGACCCTATACCAGTGGACAGCTAACCTTTTCGGCACTGAGTACCCAAAGCACACGCACACACATTCCCAAAATGCAATGCTCATGCGTCCCTTGCGCATGCACCCCATCCCCCTGCCCATGCCCATGCATCCCTGTGCATGCACCCTGCCCCATGTATGTGCCCGCCCGCATGCTTCCCACCTCCCATGCATGCCTGGCAGAGACCCAAAGACCAGCTGGCTGGAGGGAGGCGCACGCGCGTGTGCACGGCAGAGCTGAGCTGGGGTGACAGCTCATGTGCTCACAGAGAGGACTCTGCGTGACACCTCTGGCAAACGTGCCATAGGTTCGCCATCACAGCCCTATTCCAGACAAGTGGCTGTCCAGACTCTTCTTAAGTGTCTAATGATAGAACAACAACTATTTCTGACAGCAAGCCATTCCACCGGTTGATTGTTGTCACTGTTAGGAAATTTCTGCTTAGTTTTAGAGTTGCTTCTCTCCTTGATTAGTTTCCATCCATTGTTTTTTTTTATTCTGCCTTCTGATGCTTTGGAAAATAAATTGGCCCCCTCTTCTTTGTGGCAGCCCCTCAAATATTGGAACTCTGCTACCATGTCACCCTTAGTCAGGGGTGGGATTCTACCAGTTCGCACCTTTTCGGTAGAACCGGTTGTTAACATTCTAAGCAGTTCGGAGAACCAGTTGTTAGAAGAAATTACTGGCCTAATCCTGTAAGGAAGGCAGGAAGGAAACATTCTGGTGTTGCTTACAGAAACTGCCTCTCCATTAACCCTTATTACATTTTTGGAAGGACTAGACTTCCTGTCTCAGGAACTTCTCTGGGTTTTTTCCCCCCTCCTTTGCTGGTACTTTGCTTGTGTGGAGTGACCATTCAAAGTTACAATGGCACAGAAAAAAGTGACTTATGACCATTTTTCACACTTATGACTGTTGCAGCATCCCCACAGTCATGAGAGGCCAGGCGAAGAGATGCGTGCCTCAATGTGAATGATATTAAGTTGGCCACACCCAGCCAATAACGTGACCACCAAGCCATGCCTACCAACTAAACCACGCTGACAGAACCGGTTGTTAAAAATTTTGAATCCCACCCCTGCCCCAGTCCACCTTTTCACTAGACAGAAAGATAATTTAATCACTAGACATTACAAGAAGATGTTCATGTGTTACACAAATGATAGCTAAGGGATGTGGGAAGGTCTCTCCATAAGCACTCGCAATGCAAGAACCACAAAAGCAAAATAAATCAACTTTTCACCTATCCTTAATAGGTTAAACCCTTTTGCAATTTGGATATACAGAACTGCACTTCCCTAATGCTTTTTACACGCGTCTTCTTTAAACCCAGGGATAAAAAGCAAATTAAATCTAATTCACGCTTAATTTGTGGGCTTTAAAAAAAGTATTTGCACACTTCAACACAAATATAGGTCTGAGGCTGTGATGCGGTTGAAAAATGTGGCTTGATTCTGCACCAGTTATCTTCAACTATGAAAGGAAAACAAATTAAATATCAACTATGAGCTGGTGCCTTCCATGTAAGTAGGGCATCAGCTCCAGTAATCCCCAGATATTAGCCTTGGTTGGCAGTTGGTCTAATGCTTCTGAAAGTCACTGGAGAGGAGAAAGCTGAAAAGGGAGACTTTATAGTGATTTCTCTTCCTCCCCATGGCCAAGAATAACTGCATTTATATTAGATGCTTAACTTGGTTTCGAATTCCTGCATTGCATTGAACCATTAAGGAACCAAATGGACTCAAGTTTGTTTATGACCCTGCAGGCAAAACTAAGGGAGGAAAAATCGAGCTTTGGGTTGTTAGGAACACAGTTACTGGGACTTTTAACTGCTTCTGGTCTATGGGATACACAAACCCGGCAGCCACAGAGTTGCATACGTGTGAGTTAAATTAAAGAAATGGTGTGTCATTGACCCAAACCTTCCCTAGATTCAATCTCCAGATGTCATTTAAATGAAGAACGATGATAGAAGGAATCTCATCTAGGAATTCACAAGATCTCTGTGTTTTTCAGAGTTTTGTAAGAAAAGCCAATGTGGCCACCTCTCAAGGTGTGTCGAACCTCCTTGCGGTGTGCCAGTGGTAGTATGCTACCGGTTCAGACCGGTTCAACCGAACCGGTAGTAAAAATAAGCCGAGAATTAGCTGAGAGGAGAAAAAAAAAATCCTCTGACAATCAGCTGAGAGGAAAACGAAAAGCGCGGGATTGCCCCTCCCACCTGCCCCTGCGGTTTTTTCTACTTTGCCCTCTCAGCTGATTGGCGCTGCAGGTCTCAGCTGGTGTGGGGAAACCTGTGTGCCGGCGTTAGGCAAAGCACATACACCAAGCCACGCCCACCAAACCGGTGATAAAACAATTTGAATCCCACCACTGCAGTGTGCATGTAATATCACCATGCACATAGAAAAGGGAGGGGACTCAGCCTGTTCCCCTCTTCTCCTACAATCCTGGACAATAAGAATTATAATGTCAGCCATACTGTTCAATTATCAGCATATCCTGACATCTCCAGCCTGCTGGGCAGGCAAACAAAACCGCAAGGGGAATAAGACCATTAGCTCTTCACATTCACATGGGCTGGAGACCAATTGTGCCAAAAGAATGTATCTAAATTCACCCTGCTGAGTAGAACCATGGTTTTTCCAGAGTTTTAAAATCAAACTAAGAGCCTGTTTCAGATTCCCATCTTTGAAATTTATCCTCCTAGGGGCTGCTCTAAAATTAGAACACTCAACTTTGTCCTACGCAGCATAAACTGATTTGATTCAGAAGGCTGAGCATCCAACTAAGAGTTTCTTTTGGCTCTGGTTGGGTTTTTTAAAAGTTTATTTGCAAAACAGTGGAGGGGTCATCATAACACTGCTAGCTAAGCCCAAAATATTTACTCTCTCTCTCTCTTTCTCTCTCTCTCTCTGTCTTTCTGTCTCTCTCTGTCTTTCTGTATCTCTCTCTCTCTGTGTCTTTCTGTATCTCTGTCTCTCTGTCTCTGTATTTCTGTATCTCTGTCTCTCTGTCTCTGTCTTTCTCTTTCTGGGGGTGGGCTGGGAAGGATGAATCATACAATTAAATGGTAAAAACTGGCAGATTTTGATTTCTCTGGAAGGCAAAGAAGAAAAGCTATATTTGTCATGCTAATCTAATACTTAAAAGAAAAGGGGATGGGCCAACCGTTAGAAAGACAATGCACAGTGTCATTCCAAATTATTTGTCACAAATTTTGCAAATCTCCAGAAAGAACTGCAGCCTTTGTTAAGATGTTTATGAACACACAAGAGCCCTAAATAACTGATAGAGGAAGAATGAACTGTCAATCACAACCTTTTCCAATACCATCATCTAGAACAGATTATGCAACCAGATTGTGAGGTCTGTCAGACTAGTCATTTATCAACTAACCATTTCCTTGGTGATTAATCCTTAATGCAGGCTTTATATAACTACAGACAGCTGGGTGACATTATAAATCTCTAGTCAAAAAAAATGACTTCCTACTTCTGTGGATGTATCATGTGACTGCATTTAAAGGGCCATATGTACGGTAGTTTTCATTTGGTCGATTCTGTAAACCAGGGTTTCTCAACCTTGGTAACTTTAAGATGTGTGGATTTCCATTCCCAGAATTGACCAAACACCAGTCTGGCTGGAGAAGTTAAAGTCCACATGTCTTAAAGTTGCCAAAGTTGAAAAAAAACAACAACATCACCATGTTAACTCCCAACAAGAATGACAGCTGGTAATTATTAAAGTCCCCTTTATATAACATTCATTATTTCAAAAATGTTTGTCCATCCAAGAGAAACAGTTGCTCTGAAAATTTTTACGTAACCAAAATTTTGCTTTCCTTATTCTGCAGTCACAGGAGGATGTGGATTTCTTAAAGGCTACCACAGAAATCCACTTTCCTTCTCAGAAAACAACAGCAACAGGATAGGAGTTGTGCTGAAGTCTCACAGTTCCCCTGTTTTGTCCAGACCAGGGGTGGGAAACTATGGTCCTTGCTGGCTCAGGAATTCTGGGCGTTGAAGTCCTCAAGTCATAAAGGAGACATATTTCCCCACCTCTGATCTGTTGTTAGTTGCGAAGTCATGTCTGACCCATCACAACCTCACGGACAATGTTCCTCCAGGCCTGTCCTCTACCATCTTCTGGAGTCCATTTAAGCTCACACTGACTGCTTCGGTGACTCCATCCAGCCACCTCATTCCCTGCCGTCCCCTTCTTCTTCTATTACCCTCAACTGTTCCCAGCATGAGGCTCTTCTCCAGGGAGTCCATCCGTCTCATTAGGTGGCCAAAGTGTTTAAGTTTCATCTTCAGGATCTGACCTTCTAAAGAGCAGTCAGGGTTGATCCCGTCTAGGACTGATTGGTTTGATCCCCTTGGAGTCCAAGGGACTCACAGGAGTCTTCTCCAGCACCAGAGTTCAAAGGCCTCAATTCTTTGGCACTCAGCTTTTCTTATAGTCCAACTTTCACAGCCATACATTGCAACTGGCAAAACAATAACCTTCACTATATGGAATTTTGTTGGCAGGGTGATGTCTCTGCCTTTTAGTATGCTGTCTAGATTTGCCATAGCTTTCCTCCTCAGGAGCAAGCATTTATTAATTTCTTGGCTGCAGTCCCCATCTGTGGTGATCTTGGAGTCCAGGGAAGTAAAATCTATCACTACCTCCATTTCTGATCTAGACAATGATAATAATGCCAGTGTCTCAAAGCTAAACCCACATATTTGTGTTCTTCCAAGCCGGCATACAATATCTGTGTAACCATGCAGATTAACTATTTCCATATGGACTTATTTCAGGTAGTCCTTGACTTACAACAGTTCATTTAATGACCATTCAGAGTTACAACATCATCGATAAAAGTGACTTCTGGCTGTTTTTCCACACTTATGACCATTGCAGCACCCATGGTGACATGATCAAAATTCAGATGCTTGCCAACATATTTATGATGGTTGCATCCCCTCTTGCAACCTTCTGACAAGCAGAGCCTTAGGGAAACCAGATTCACTTCTCAATTGTGTGACTAATTTAACAGCTGCAGTGATTCACTTAACAACGATGGCAAGAAAGATTGTAAAATCAGGCAAAACTCACTAAACAAATGTCTCACTTGGCATTCAAAACTTCGGGATGAAATGTGGTCATAAGTCAAGGACTACCTGTATACCAGTCCCTGATTTGGAAAAATATCCTGCAAACATCAACCTGTAGTGACGAAGAAATGAATGAATTCTTTTTTGGCCAAGTGTGATTGGACACACAAGGAATTTGTCTTGGTGCAAATGCTCTCACCGTACATAAAAGAAAAGATACATTCATCAAGTGTCAAGAATCGTAAGATACAACACTTAATGATAGTCATAGGGTACAATAAGCAATCAAATCTTACTAGGAAACAGTTAATATAAATCATAAGGATACAAGCGACAAAGTTGCAGTCATACAGTCACAAGTGGGGGCGGATGGGTGATAAGGAGTGATGAGAAGATAACAGTAATAGTAGTGCACACTTTGTAAACAGTTGAACAGTGTTGAGGGAATTATTTGTTTAGCAGAGTGATGGCGTTCGGGGAAAACACCTGTCCTTGTGTCTAGTTGTTCTGGTGTGCAGTGCTCTATAGCGTCATTTTGAGGGCAGGAGTTGAAACAGTTTATGTCTGGGATGTGAGGGGTCTGTAAATATTTGCACAGCCCTCTTTTTGACTAGTGCAGCATACAGGTCCTCAAAGGAAGGCAGGTGGGTAGTAATTATTTTTTCTGCAGTCCTATTTATCCTCTGAAGTCTGTGTCTGTCCTGTTGGGTTGCAGAACCAAACCAGACAGTTATAGAGGTGCAGATGACAGACTCAATAATTCCTCTGTAGAACTGTATCAGCAGCTCCTTGGGCAGTTTGAGCTTCCTGAGTTGGCGCAGAAAGAACATTCTTTGTTGTGCTTCTTTGATGATGTTTTTGATGTTAGGCGTCCATTTTAGGTGTTGAGATATGATAGAACCTAGAAATTTGAAGGTCTCTGCTGTTGATACTGTGTTGTCTAGTATTGTAAGAGGTGGTAGTATGGGAAGGTTTCTCCTAAAGTCTACCACCATTTCTACGGTTTTGAGTGTGTTTAGTTCCAGATCATTCTGGTTACACCACGAGGCAAGTTCTACAACCTTCTGTCTGTATGCGGATTCATTGTTGTCTCAAATGAGACCAATCACTGTTGTGTCTGGAAGTTTCACAGATGCATCAACCCGTAGTGATGACTGATATAATTCATCACTTAACCCAATTTCTAGTGCAACTGAAAACTTTTCTATCAACTGTAACTAACCTCCTTTAAAAATTTATTATGACAGGCAGTCCTTCCTCTTTTCTTTAATAATCCAGATTTAATTTAGAGGACTGTCTCATTCTGGGAAGCTCAAATATTCTACAAATACAGATGCTATTGCTCACCAACTGGATGGTTTCTTTTAAGGTAGCCCAGTTCCCAGGCTAAGATATAATTATTTATCTAAAGGCTCCTGGGAATGTATACAAGATAAGGATTTGATTTTGGAGGATGTTTTACATCAAAGCAGCTTTTTCAACTGGGAAGGCAAATAGGGGTAGAGAGGAAGTATAGATCAGCAAAGAAAACATATATTCAGGCCAAAGGTTTATCCTGTGTCACACCTCATCAAAGGATGTGGGTGATTCCAGAGGAAAAGACCTGGGGAAACCTTTTCAATCCCAGAAGACTATCCTGGATATTATTTGATTTAAACATTTTTCAGCCAGATGATTTTCAGAATGGCATGTATGATGTAGGGCGGTGAAAGCCCTTGGGAAAAGGTGTTTTGCAAGGCAGTGGAGCATGAAGGAAGTTATCTCTTGTCAAATCATTAAAGGGCTGCTTTTTTTCCCCTCCAGGGATTAAAGCAAAAGGTGTGGCTGTGAGTTTATCTGCACGTAGACCTAGTCCAGAGTATCTTCCAAAACTGAAGAGAGATCTTGGATTAGTGCTCCTGTGTGCCAGGAAGTAATTGCACAGCCATAACATCATGGCTACAAAGATTATAATAAAGGGACTAAATTCAGATGAGATCCAAGCCAAAAGACAATTCCTTTGTTTTTTCCTTATTTTTAAGGCAAAAGCAAACGAACTAAGCAGGCTGACAAGCCAGCAGATAGTCATTAATGAAATGGCTGGAACGTCATCCATACTACCAAATTTGATTCAATTTTATTATTGAATATTAAGTATTTCAGTTTATATGGCTGCTTACCTCAAAGATGGAGGCGGGGTGGCTCAGTGGCTAACACACTGAGCTTGTCAATCAGAAAGGTCAGCAGTTCGATGGTTCGAATCCCTAGCATCACGAAACAGAGTGAGCTCCTGTTACTTGTCCCAGCTTCTGCCAACCTAGCAGTTTGAAAGCATGTAAAAATGCAAGTAGAAAAACAGGGACCACTTGGGTGGGAAGGTAACGGCGTTCTGTGCGCCTTTGGCATTTAGTCATGCCGGCCACATGACCACAGAGACGTCTTTGGACAGCGCTGGCTCCTCGGCTTTGTAACAGAGATGAGCACCGCCCGCTAGAGCCCGGAAACGACTAGCCCATATGTGCAAGGGGAACCTTTACCTTTTTACCACAAAGTAAAAAAGGGAGGATCACAATCATTACAAATTTTACAAAAGAGAAAAGAGCAACATTAAAAAACACATTACAGCCATACAAAATAATCAGCATCAGTATTAGAAATCCTCACCATCAGCAACCATCATTGCCACCATACAGGCCCCCACCATGTATTCACAAGCCCAGTTGCACAACTGTGTCTTGAAGTCCTGAGGAAATGTTAGTCAGGCTGGGATGAATTTGATCTCTGGGGGATGATATTATGCCAGGGGTGTCTGACTGGATAAAGAGATCTCCACTGCAATGTATGTCACTTGTCCTCTTGGCTTGTAGTGTTTACTTAATCTATTTAATCTTCCTAAATTTTAATCATTTGTATGATTATTTTTTGTAAGCCATCCAAAGTCGCTGCAGCAGTGAAATAGGTGGCATATAAATTTAATAAACAAACAAATAAATAGCGATAAGTATCTGGAAGTTTCAGCTGTTTCGAAATGCAGCGATACAGGCAATTATGTGTACCTCTAGAATGTACACGTAGCACCTCTACTCTGAGAATTGTATGTATTGCCAGTTTGCTTTCAGGTCTAGTTCAAGATGCTGTTTTTGATCTTTGAAGCCCTACGGGACTGGATTACTTGAGGGATCTCCTCTTTTGGATTACATCCATGTGACCACCACCCCTGATCCAGGGAAGGCATGCTGTGGGTTCCATCCATTAGGGAATTATATCTGGCAGGACCCAGGAGGCGGGGCTTCTCTGCCGTGGCGACCACCTTGTGGAATCTCCACCCCCAGGAAGTGAGGTCATCTCCACACCTTTTAACATTCTGCAAGTCTTTCAGCGTATGCTATCACACCTATGGTCCCAGGGAGATCTTGCTATGGCTACCTTACTGCAACTAACATCCTCCTCTCTGGCTCATGTGTCCTTTAATAGTTTTTTTTATAGGTGTTAATAATGTTTTTATATACTCCTTGGTTTTCTTTTTTTAATTAACTGTTGCCTGACACTCAGAGTCATATTCTTGTCAGATGGGTGGCCTTGGAAATACGATAGATAAGTAAATAAAATAGGTATGCTGTCACTTTGTAAACAAGGAGCTCTCCAGCCATAGTCGGTGAGGAGCAGTGAAGAAATCTACTTGGTGGTCTAGAAAAAAACATAGACATCCTGTTATTTTTCCAGGAACAGAAGTTGCTTAAGAGAGACAAGAGTGATTAATGTCTCCAGATAACAGCGTGTGATCTCACCCGCTTTCAGGTCTCCCATCCCATATCTCCTACAGAGGATCAAGATATAGCTCTGGTAGCCCATATCTACTTCATTCCCCTGTAGATACAATGATGCTGTGGTCTACAGTTCTTTCCTTGTTGCTCCATTTCGTTTTGTCTCATCATTTGAGACAAAAATTGTTGTCCCTGGTTGCAGCATGAACGTGGGTTTTCCGTTACCACTCCAGGAGACCTCATGATCTGAATTATATAATTTCAACTCTAGGCCTCTCCACACAGAGCAGGAAAAGCTTCTGTATATAATCCCTGAAACATCTTTGTTACCTTCGTCAAAAAAGCCAAAATGGTAGCCTTAATGATGCAGTTAAATCTCCATCCATTTTGATGAGCACTAGGTAGACTTTCAACTGCACCACTGTGGCCACCATTTTGAACACTCCCTGTGGATACCCCTGAGTGAATGTATAGCTGCTGAATTGTGCCTGTTAGTAACTAAATTAAAAACAACAACAAGAAGTCATTTCCTCAAATTTTCCTTCTGACACAAGACTGCAAGCACCATGTCGCCTTGGCTGCTAAGATACTGAAAACCAAGTATAA